CACAAACTGCCAGGAAAAAAAAAAAAAGTCACTAAAAAAAAAAATGTAAGGCAAGATGTTCCAGTGACTCAGGAGGCTGAGACAAGAGGATCCCAGATTTGAAGGCCAACCTTACTAAAAGTGACCCTGTCTCACTGAAATGGGTACGGAGGTGGGGGCGGGGAGACCAAGGGTGTACTTCAGTTGTAGAGCCCACTGGGTTAAATCTACAGGATCCCCCTATAGAAACTGAAGTTAAGTCAGGTGCAGTGGTGCCTTGCTATAATCCCAACTATTAGAAGGGTGAGGCAGGAGGATGACAAGTTGGAGGCCAGTCTCAGCAATTTAGAAGACCCTATTTCAGAAAAGAAATTAAAAGGACTGGAAATGTAGCACAGTGGTAAAACCCCTAACTCAATCCTCAGAACTGCACCTCCCTCAAAAAAAAAAAAAAAAGAGGGGAAACAGTTACAGATGATACAGTACATGCATAAAATGCAGTAATTACAAATTAGTCATCATGGCTGGGGACGAGGACCTGGGTTCAATCCCCAGTACTGCCAAAACAAAAAACAAAAAACAAGAAATGCACACCAACAGCAAAACTTCCTGTTCTCTCCTTATTCCATTTTTTTGCCTGTCTAAAACTGCTCTTACATCAACAAAGTTAAATTTGCTGTTTTATATTTTAAAAATATGTATTTAAAAATTTATATTTTTAGCTTTTGGGGGAAATTGTCAAAATTGTTTGGTAACCCAACATCTCTATGGGATCAACATTATCAGTTTTTGCTTGTTCTTTGAAGAAGGGTCTTGCTATGTTGCCCTGGCTGACCTGAAACTTCTCTGGCTTCAATGATCCTCCCTCCTGAGTAGCTTGGACTATAGGTGCACTCTATAGATAATCAATCTTAAATTAGAATCTGAAGTTCCAGAAAAAACTGTTAAATGAATATGAAGTACCTATGAATGAAGAATATACAGTATTTGGGTTTAAAGGTGAGGGGCTGGGGATGTAGCTCAGTGGTACAGTGCTTGCTCAGCTAATGTGAGGGCCTGAGTTCAATTCCCAGTACTACAAAAAGACTGATTGTAGATGAGGTTAGTTTAGTCTAACCCTTTGTCTAATACATACTGTAAGTGATGAATGGGGTAAGATTCCCAAATAACTTCCCTCCCCTATATTATGTATTTTTGTAATGTTTGAACTTCGCATTCATTCATTCATGGTACTGGGGATTGAACCTAGGTGTGCTTAACCACTGAGCCACATCCCCAGTTTTTAATTTTTATTTTATTTTTGTGGTGCTGGGGATTGAACTCAAGGGCTTGTGCATGCGAGGTAAGCACTCTACCAACTGAGCTGTATCCCCAGCCCTTAATTTTTATTTTGAGACAGGGTCTCACCAAGTTGCACAGGGCCTCACTCACCACTGGCCTCGAACTTGCAATGCTCCTGTCTCAGCCTCCCAAGTTGCTAGTATTACAGGTGGACGCCACCACACCCAGCTGAACTTTACTTTTGAATGGAATGGTTACAAAGCATGGTGACATCACAGGTTACAACAAATTTCAAAGACTGGAAAATTTTTCCTGGACTACATTTTAAATCTTTCAACACATCTGCTGGGACCTGGAAATCTTTGAGGTCCTTCTTGCAATGGAATTTCTGTGGCTTTTATTATTGGTACTGGGGACGGAACCCAGGGTGCTCTACAAATGCGTTAATCTCCAGCCCTTTTTTCCTTTTTGTGAGGCAGGGTTTCTTTATGTTGCAGAAGCTGGCCTAGAATTTAAGAGTCTCCTGCCCCAGCCTCCCAAGTCCCTGAATTACTGTATGAGTCACCCACCATCATGGCATCCACAGCCCTTATTTTGGCACAGGGGCTGGCTGAATTGCCCAGGCTGGCCTAGAAATTGCAACCCTCCTGCCTCAGCCTTCAGAGGAATTACTAGCAAGTACCCCTGGGCACATGGAATTGTAATTGTAATGGAATTTCACCTGCAAGTTTTAATTAAACCCCATTTTACCTATGGGATTCTGTTGTGTGGGGTGCTAACCCTTACAAAGGAAACCGGATATAGACAACACCCCACAGCCCCTTTTCATCTCTTATCCAAAGAGTACAATACTAGGTTACTCTTTATCCATTTTGTTCAGACCAGTCATAAGCCTCAAAACTAATAACTTTTACCAAGAAAATATAACAGAAATGTAAAAGTTAAACAACAAAAAGAAAAGGGAAGGAAGGAATGTGAAAATTAACTATTGAAAGACATTTTTTAATGTCATTTTTTTTAAAAAAATGGAGACCCCACAGTAAGCTGGGCACAGTGGTGCACACCTATAATCCCAGTAGCTCAGGAGGCTGAGACAGGAGAATCGAAAGTTTAAAGGCAGCCTCAGCAATTTAGTGAGGCCCTAAGCATTTTATCGAGATTGTTTAATAAAAAATAAAAAGAGCTGGGAATGTGGCTCAGTGGTTAAGCCTCTGTGTCAATAGCCAGTATTAAAAAACATGAAAAGGACAAGGCATGTAATTTACTGGTAAACACCCCTGGTTCAATCCTCAGTACAAAAAAAAAAAAAGAAGTGAATAATTTGAGGCAGCCTATAATCTCAACTACCTGAAGAGTTGGCAGGAGGATTCCAAGTTTGAGGCATGGGCAAATTAGGAAAACTTTTTCTCAAAATAAAAAGGGTACTGGGGATGCAGTTCAGTGCATGTGTGAGGCCCCAAATTCAATATCCTGTACGAGGGAGAGAGGGAGGGAAGAGAATAGAGAAGAGAGGGCAGGAAGGAGAATAATCAACAGTGTTGGAGAGAAATGGGAAGTGACTGCTAAAGATGAGGGTTTTTCTGATTAAAAAAAAAAAGAAAGAAGTCCTAAAACTGACTATTTTAGGTGATGGCTGCACAACTCTGAATACACTAAAACCTGAATTCAACTCTCTACCGTATTATATTAATTCAGGTTATTAGTGAGTATATTCCAAAAAGTCACCACTTAAAAAAAAAAAAAAAAAAACTCAGGGGCTGTGGATGTGGCTCAAGCGGTAGCGCGCTCGCCTAGCATGCGTGCGGCCCGGGTTCGATCCTCAGCAGCACCACATACCAACAAAGATGTTGTGTCCGCCGAGAACTAAGAAAAAATGAATAAATGTTAAAATTCTCTCTCTCTCTGTCCCTCTCACTCTCTCTTTAAAAAAAAAAAAAAAAAAAACTCAAACATGTGAAATGTGATAAAATAGTGAAAACCATTGAGAGTAGATAATGGGTACATGCTTCTTAGTATTTTCTTTACTTCTGTGGAGTCTGAAATGTTTTTCTTTTGGAGGGCTGGAAATTGAATCCAGGGATGTTTTATCATTGAGCTACAACCCCAGTTACTTTTGTTTTTTTGAGACACAGTCTTGCTAAGTTAACAAGGAGACTGGCCTTGAACTGTAATCCTCCAGCCTCAGCCTCCCAAGTAGCTGGGATTACAGGCGTGTGGCCATTCCCCTGACAACTTCTCATATTTTTAAGAAAGTTCAACACTTCTTAGTGCTAGGGATCAAATCCAGGACCTCAGGCATACCAAGTAAGCACGTGCTATACCTAGTTACACCTAGTTCCACCGGTGGCTGGGAAGATAACATCAGAGATTTAACCTAAGAGTACTCCACTACTGAATACACTCCCAGCCCATTTTATTTTTTATTTTAAGACTGGGTCCAGGGCTGGGGATGTGGCTCAAGCGGTAGAGCACTCGCCTGGCATGCATGCGGCCCGGGTTCGATCCTCCGTACCACATACCAACAAAGATGTTGTGTCCACCGAGAACTAAAAAAAAATAAATATTAAAAAAAAATTCTCTCTCTCTCTCTCCTCTCTCTTTAAAAAAAAAAAAAAAAAAAAAAAAGACTGGGTCCAAGTTGTCCAGCTGGCCTGTAACTTGCCATCCTCTACCCTTAGCCTCCCCAGTCACTGGTTGATTATAGGAATGCACCACCACCCCTGGAGAACCTCCTCAATTCTTGATAGAGTTGTACTTAGGGACTAGAAATGTTCTCTTAACCTGAATGCATTAGAACATGGTACATATAACTGTTTCTGAAACAAAAAAAATAGTTCTATATCCACACTTGTTTTCTTAGGAAAATGATTTCAATCGGAGATCTCATACATCTTTTAAAAACTAATTTCTCACTAGACATGGTCATGCACACCTGAAATCCCAGGGACTTGGGAAGCTGAGACAGGAATAAGTTCTAGGCCAGCCTGGACAACTCAGCAAGACCCTATCTCAAAATAAAAAACTCCAGGGAGGCTGAGGCAGGAAGATCACAAGTTCAAAGCCAACCTCAGCAATTCAGCAAGGCCCTAAGCAACTATGGCTCAGTGGTTAAGTGACCCTGGGTTCAATCCCCGCCTCTCCTCAAGGCTGGGGATGCTGCTTAGTGTTAGAGCACTCTTGGGCTCAATCATTAGAATCTCAAGCAAACAAACAAGCAAAACCTAACTTCTTATATTTCATGGTTTTAGGGAGAATTTTCTGGGGTTTTTTGTTCTGCTTTTTTGTTGGTACAAGGGATTCAACCAAGGACTTAATGCCATGTTAGACAAGTGCTGTATATCCCCAGCCTCTAATTTCTCACATTCTGATATTTTGGGAATAAAGACAAGTTGTTCCACTTAGGAACTCAATACCACAAGTCAAATGCTTTTACAAGTGAGGTTTTTGTTAAATGCTGCTATGGAAGATTAATTATTGGATTTTCCTTTTGTATAAGCCCTCAAGTCTTTTAGGAAACTATGCTACATCTTAGCTGTGTTCAATGTCACATACATACATCTAGAAACTTAAAAGCAGTCTAATTTAGGGAAATAGTTTTTAGAATATAAACAATTTGTCCAAGGTTGCAAACAGAGGAAATGATGCAACCTGCATCCCTTTTCTGAAGCACTATTTAGCAGACCATCAAATTGGAAATCAGAAACAAGAGTTAAATTTATGGCCTAGAAAACGTCTCTTACCTGTATGAGTTCGAACGTGCTGAACGTAATTGTTTTTTCTGTCTGAAAAATAGTTGCATTTACCACATGTGTATACTTTCCTTGGAAAATGGTTTCTTAAGTGTTTCCTCCAGTGATACTCGCTTACTGTTGTGTAAGTGCAAATGATGCACTTGTAGACTCGCTCGTTATCTCCAGCTCTTGTGTGGTGTTTCAGGTGCGCAGTATAGTGATCATATCTATTGGTATTGTAGCCACAGCGGTCACAGCGAATGGGGCCCTTAGAGAAATCTCCCTCTTCAGCAGTGGAAGAGCCAGATTCTCTGGCTTTTGCTTGCTTCTCTGCACTTTCTTCCACAAAAAACTTCTTGGCACTATGAACTCTGATATGATGCACAAATTGTTCTTCAGATTCTGCTTCATATTGGCATGGCTTACAGCGAAAGGGTTTGGTCTTCAAGTTCTTGCATTTGTCCTCTGCTCCAGGTGTTTCATTAGGAAGATCTTTATTTGAGCTGTAAATTTCTGGGGCAGCTGATGCCTCAAATACAGGCTGTGGTTCTACAACATTGACTTCCAAACTTCTCAGTTCCATGTTTTCGAGTCCATTAGGTTCACCTTTTATTTCAGGAGATTCCTCAAGTCCTTCTCCATCACTATCTGAAAAGTTGTTATCCCCAACAGGCATCAATTCTGCCATCTGTCTTTCTTCACCAACCAGGTAATCACAGCAGCTGCCATTCACTTCCCCAGTTAAGGCCACGTTTGCTAGCATGATAAGCTGAGGAGCAGCCAGTTCAGCTTTGGAGAGGTCATGCAAGTCATACATGTCGTTGGGCAAGGCCATGCCAATGTTGCCACTGCCAGTGAACAGCCCTCCTCCTCCAGAAGACTGCCCCATCACCTGGGTAGCCATAACTGTATTCTGAATTAGGAACAAGAACAACAAAAAAGAACACAAGAGCAACAGTTTAAGCACAATGCTTAGGAGCCTAAAACCAAAGCATCATTCTAATTCTGGTCTCTTTTTTTGGGGGGGTGTGGGGAGGTACAGTACTGGGGGATTGAATCCTAAGGTACTTTATCACACTGAGCTACATTCCCAGTGAGACTGGGTCCCGTAAAGTTTTAATTATATTATTTAATTATATTATTTAATACTGTCCATTTGCTTTTTCTGAGACTGGATGCGGCTAAATTGCTTGGGTCCTCCCTAAATTTCAGAGGCTGGCCTTGAACTTGTAATCCTCCTGCCTCAGCCTCCCAAGTGGCCATGACCCCCAAAGTTCTATTTCTTCCTAACTGAAAACTACATAGTTCTCAATATAACCTCCAAAACTCAAATGAGTTTTGATAACTTCTAAAAAGAAACCTTAAAATAGTTTTGTTAATTCCCAATCCTCTTACTTGAGTCACACACACAAACTTCCTCTACCCCTAAAGAAAATTCTGCCAATTGTTTAACATAATTCATTCATCAACTAGGTCTACCACTGACAGGCAAGTGCACTTTTTTTTTCTGGTGGTGGTGGTGAAACCTACATTCATTTTTTAAAAAATTATTTTTATTGTAGGTGGACACAATACCTTTATTTTGTTTATTTATTTTTATGTGGTGCTGAGGATCGAACCCAGTGCCCCAAGCGTGCCAGGCAAATGCTCTACCACTGAAGCACAACACCAGCCCCCTACACCCATTTTTAATGTTAATTAAAAACTGTTTAAGCTCAGTGTTGGTGGCATATGCCTGTAAAACCAACTACTCAGGACTTAAGGCAAGAGAATCGAGGTATGACACCCTCTGAAAATAAAATGAAAAGGGGGTAGGAAGTAGTTCAGTGGTAGAGCACTTACCCACCATGTGCAGTGCCCTATGTCTGATTCCCACTATAAGAGAAAAAAATATAATTTTAAAAACCCAACACACTAGTAGTAAACTATTTTCGTTCCAACTTTCCTCTTCAATACTTCAATGGCCTGAATTAGAAAGCCAAGAAATTAACAAGCCATTCTGTGCATGTATAAGTACACAAGTCTGGAAGGAAGCCTATAATAACTGGTCAATTTAATTGAATTTCATGTGAACGCAACTAACTTCAAAAAGAAGAAAAAAAAAACTGCGAGACAGTACCACTTAGTCTCAATTTTTTGATGACTCCCCACATTTAAAAGCGGAAAAAAAGTATGGGCCTCTTTTCCTATGAAAAGGGAAGTTTGGTTTATTCGAAACTTCACAAATGAAGGTTAACATTTTTTTTTCAAACCCCCTAATAAAACAATCGCACAACTCAACGCCACAATCAGCAACTTTCTTCCATTGTGCTTGACTTGGCCTACTTGCCCAGTGGAAGCCATTACAAGATCACCTTCCTGAAAACAAGTTGGGTTTTTAAATGATCTTAACCAAGTTACTTTCCAGTCTAAAAGGTGCTAGTCTCCAGCCCGTGTCTTTCTGCAAATCAGAAAAAGCAAAGACACAGAACTAAATAATAAAGTTAAACCGAAAGATAAAAAGCAATCCATTCCACCCAAGTGTATAAACCCGTTTAGTTATTTGCACCAACAAAAGTTGGACTCAAATGCCATCACAGAAAACGGAGGGCAAAAGCAGTTCCAAGGCTTAACAGCGCAAGCTATTCGGAAATTTAACCCAACATCGACCTTCCAGATTCCCCAACCCACCCTACCCATGACTCTTACAGGAATTTTAACATTTGTCAGGAAGACCGTTTGGGCACTGCCTGAAAGCCCAACGTGTTGCACGAAATTCCTATGTGCTGCTGCCACCGGCGCCTGCCTCGGCGGCGGCATTCCTAACTGAAATAGGCATTCGGCCATTTTCTCAAAATACCAAACACAAAGCAGCTCTCTGCAAACTCGGGAGCTCTCGCTTCCTCACCGCTCCGCCCGCTCCCTGCACACATTCGCCCACCAACTCACCGGGCTTGCCCCCACCGCTCGTCCTGAACCTCTTCCTGTGCTCCCCCAATTCAAACGGTGGAGGTGAGCAAACTCGGGGCTCCGATCCCCAACTGAGTCCTTCCCGAGAGAGACAGCCCCCTCCGCGGCCCACGGGCCAGAGTCCGGGAAAAGGGCGGAAAGTTACCGTGTGGCCGGCGCCCGAGCTCCGCCGACCGCCCGGCTCGCCCTCCGCGGAGGCTCCGCGGGCGCCCTCCGCAGGCGCGGACCCGAGAGCCAGGGGGCCCCACGCGGGCCGCCCCCGCGCCCCGGAAGTTTGCTAACTTCACTCCCCCACGGCGCCCGGCGGGACAAGCGCCCCGGCCCTGCCAGCGCGGGCCGCCGGGCGCACAGGGCCGCGTCGCGGGGCAGTCGGAGCGCAGAAATCGCTGTCCAGCCCGCTGGCGGCACCGCCCGAGCCCGGGGGCTGACTCAACCCGCCCCGCCGCACTCAACGGCGCCTTCCGGCGAAGCGACAGGCTGGGGGAGGGGGCCCAGAGGGCGGCGGGCCGGCGCGGGGCTGCGGCGGGACCCGGAGGCTGGAGATCAGGAGGAAGTTTCAGGACTAGGGCCCCGAGCAGCTCCGCTCTTGGCCTGAAAGTCTAGACTGGCGGGGCGTGCGGGCCCGCGCGGAAGCGGCGGCCTTCCTCAAATGGGGAGGGGGTCCTGGAGACGTGCAGCTCTCCACCAACGCCCCCGGCCCAGCCCCGGGCCGCCGCCGTGTAACCCGATCCCGCTCGGCCGCCCGCCCCCGCCCGGCGCGGCGGCCGTCGCCGGAGCCACAGTATCTGCAAATCAGCCCTGGACAGCGCCTCGCTCCGCGTCCTTCCGCGCCCTCCCCCTCCCGCGGCCGCCGCGGCCGCCTGGCCCTCCCCCACCCCGGCCGAGCCCCCAGCCCCGCGCCGCGCTTACCGGTCTTCCTCGGAGAGGGGGAACTGGCGACCTGGCGTCGCCACCCCTCCGCCGACTACTTTTCTTTGTTGTTGGAGTTTTAGGAGAGGGGGGGAGGGGTGGAAAAAGTTGGGCGCTTGGGCTGTCGAGGCCCTTAAAGGCCAGGAGCGGGGCTGCAGAAAGTGCTCAGGCCGCCAGCCCTCGCCCAGCCGTCCGGGCTGCCGCCGGGGTCTGAGGCCAGGGGCCTCGGCGGCGCTTGGCCTGCTGCTGCGCCGCGAGCTCGCGGGAGCCGCACATTCCAACACAGGACGCTGTGCCGCGCACCAGCCCGCGCCGCCGCCGCCCGCCTGCGGAACACGCCCCCTCCGCCGCCCGCGCGCGCCCGCGGGACACGCCCCCTCTGCCGTTCGCGCGCGTGGCCGCTAGGCGCGCCCCGCCCCTCGGAGAAGGGCAGAGCTCCTGGCTTGGGTCGGGTGGCTAGGGGAGCGCCCAGGGGGGAGCCGCACCTAATCCACCCGGGCGCTCACTCCTGCCCTGAGGTCAGAAAAGGGGCGGGCCCCTCTCCCTTTCTCGATTTCTTTTATAAACAAACAACAAAAGTTACCCGGAGCCCTGGCGTGCTTGCATGAGAATAGAGCTGTTAAAAGAAAAATGTGCAGGCTTTGACCATTCTTTAGAACCATTGTCACCGGCCTCTCAAGTCGAAAGCGCTCGAAAATACCCTTCAGAATCTTTTTAACTCTCTACCCACCCTTACCTTAGCTAATTAAGCTTAGTTTTAAGCTTCTGGAGTAAAATGCCTTCCAAATTTCAAACTATAAGCGGGGACGGGGGAATGCGATCATTTTGTGAGTTACGAGAAGAACTTGTTTCAGCAAGGACTCAGAACAGTGAGAATGAGGATTGGGGGGCACGTTCCTAGACGGGTCAGGTAGCGGATCGCTTCTGAGCCTGGAAAGCACGATTTGGGTGGAGGAATTACTCTCACGTTACAGAAGGTGGAGAGAGCAATGAGGAACCAGAGGCTGCCTGGGACCACGGTGTCCCGAGACTAACCTGACTTCCGCATCATGCAGCCAACGACGATCAAGCCTAATGCCTGGCACAAAGTAATATTCTTTTAAGGAGAAATTTCGTATACCCCTTCCTTTCTTTTCTCACCTGAAATGCCTTTTTAGCCTGCCCCCCCCCMCCCCAAAAGGGAAAAAAAAAAAAAACGTGGAGAGGCTTTGTTTAAGGTTTTGGTTTTGGTTTTGGTGAGAATTTTGTTTTTTGGAAAGAGGCATTTGCGATACTGGGGATTGCTAGGCAAGTGCTCTATCACTAAACATCTTTTTGTTTAGTTTGGTTTTGAGATAGCTTCTCACAAAATTGCCCAGGCTGGCTTAAAACTTGCCTCAGCCTCCTCAGTAGATGGGATTACAGGCCTACCCCACAACTCACACTTTAAAATGATGGTGTTACATCATGCATGTTATTGAGAGGTTTGTTTTGTTGTTGGTTAGTTGGTTGTTTTTCTGGTGTTTTTGCCCCATTCAAACTTTACTTCATGTATTCTTTGCTGAACTAAAATCTGACTTCAAACTACATGGCTTTTTTAGTTGCTGTAGCCTAAGGTACCAAGACTGTCAAGGAACTGTTTTCTTTGCATTCCATATCCTAAATTAAGGTAAAAATGAACACTTCCCCTTCCCGGCTCCTAAACATTTCTTTTTAAGCTTACTAGATAAATGTCCTTGCTTTCCTCAGTCTGACCACTTATTGGAAATGTTCTATTAATTGCGAATTTATTCCCACATATTGTGATGCAAATAGAAGAATAGCAAATGGGCAGCTGCATTCATTCAAAATTAGCAGAGGCCCTTGTTCAAGGGAGGGCATATTCAGAGTGACCCAAATTATAATGACATGAAGGCCACAGGTCATGTCCAAGGCCGAATTACAAATCAATAGGTTTACTTGGGAGAAGCTGGTGTTATGAAATTGAATTCTTTTTTCTTTAATTTAAAAAAAAAATCTAACTTCAATTCTTGTTTTTCAAGAAGCTATATTCAATTTGCTGCATCTAAAATCTATGATATTCTGCAAGATAAAGTCTTTGAAATATGAATGAGTTCTCCTTTTTTTTTAATATGGGTTCTTTCCTACATATTGAATTCATCTGTATTTTAAAAATGTAATTATCATATGTTCTTAATCATATTTTTCTCTAGAGGTTTATTTCAAGAGTTTGGCAAAATATTGTTTTGAGCTTCCATGTGCTTTTTATTTCTAACCATGTTTCATTTTTTTCTATAGAAAAGAACTTAATTTTCCTGAATCCACATTAATGTTACATTGAAGTTCAATAATCTGCTGTAAATGTTATATCTGACTCAAGTACTGATTAAAAATTAGGGTACAAGCCAGACACAGTGGCAGACATCTGTAATCCTAGTAATTGGGAAGCTGAGGCAGGAGGATTGCCAAGTTCCAGGCCAGCTTTAATAACTTAACCAGACACTATCTCAAAATAAAAAAATAAAAAGGGCTGGGGATATAGCTTGGTGGGAGAGTATCTCTGGGTTCAATCCTTAGTATCACAAAAAAATAAACAAAATATTTTGTGTTCTCTGTAACTTTGTTATGAAACTTTCAGTAGGGTAGAAAAGGTTGTGATAAAATAGAAAGTGTGATGGACAGGGAATCAGGAATCTGCTTATTTCTTCCCTCCATTGCTTTGAGGAATCACTTATTTGAATTTTGTCTGCAAAATAAAGAGGTTGGACAAGTGATGTGTAAAATTCTCAGAAGCTTAAATACTTGTGGTGTTTTTTATTCTGCTTAAAATTTTGAAACTTATGCATGTATTTCCTATCACAATTAGAAAAATTTTTAAGTTCACATTATCTGGCATTCTTGGTTTCTTCTCTATAGTTATTTGATATCTCTGAAGACACATCAGCCAATCCGGAGAAGTATTGGCCTCAAGATTGATTATATCACCAAGCATGGTGGCACAAGCCTGTAATCCCAGCAACTCGGTAGGCTGAGCAAGAGCATCACAAGTTTGGGGTAAGACTGGGTAACTTAGTGAGACCCTGTCTCAAATGAAAGTTGAGAAGTGATATGAATGTGATTCAGTGGAAGAGTATTTGTCTAGCACGTGTAAAGACTTGGGTTTAATCACTAGTAACACCCAAGGGGGGTGATAAAAAGACTGAAGGTATCTTAAGACATATATTTAAGGCCTGGTTTGGTCTGGTTTAATGCAGCATCATCTACCCTTGATCCCAGTTGACGCTGACCTTTAGTTCTGTTCTGATAACTGGAGCACAGTCTCCTATCTACCCTGACATCAACAGCTCCAGGGAAGGAGGCAAACAAGGAACTTGGAGTCTGAGCTGGGCCTTTCCTGCCTGCTTCTGGAGCCCAAGTTTGGAATTGCTCTCCTTATTGTCTTCCATTGGGCCACAGCCTCTTTGAACCCAGGCTACCTCCTCTGAGATCCACTGCTCTCATTGCTGTTCCCCTTCTGAAAGACTGTGCAGTACCCTTCTTTCCCTGTTGCTCATTCCTTCCCTTCATCCATGTAAATACCGTCTTCTCAGTGGCCCCATGATTTAAAATTATAACCCCCTTCCCTTTGCATCCAATTTTAATTGCCTTTCCCTACTTTGTGTTTTTCTCTAGCATTTAACACTAACATGCTAGGTATTTTGTTTTATTTTATTTTTTGTGGTGCTGGAGACCAAACCAAGGCCTCTCAGTCATGCTAGGTAAGTGCTCTATCACTGAAATACTCCCCTAGTGCCCTCCTCCCCACCCCCTATATATTTTTCTTGGTCCTGGAGATCAAACCCCAGGTCTCAAACATGCTAAACTAGGGGAAGGACTGCCATAGAACTGCACCCCTGGCTCTGTTATTTTATTTGCTTACACTATTTATTGTTTGTCTTCCATCACTGGAATTTAAGCTCCAGAGGGCAGGCAATTGTGGCTTTATCTCCAGTGTCTATGACTTGGTAGTTGCCCAACAACTATGGCTACAGAATCCTAACTTGGTATGACAGTCTTTCCAAATGAAGATCCTCCTTAACCAATGTTCACACTCCCAATTGTTTCTTGAATGCAGAAATAAATTTTCCTGATCCCTATGCTCTTCCTCCTGTCACGTTTTGAATTATTCTCCTTATTGTCCTCCATTCACAGCCAGGCTGCTCTCCACTCAGATCCACTGTTCTGATTGCTGCTTGACCATCTTCTGTGTGCCTTGTTCCTAGCACACTCCTAGTGGTACACATAAATCTCTGGTTGGATTTTCTTTGCTCGATATTAACAGTCTTTTTGGTCCTTAGGTGTCCCTCTATTTTCTCTTTTCGTTTGTTTTTGGTATGGGAATCGCACCTAGGGGTGCTTTACCACTGAAAGACATTTTAGAGACAGTCTAGGCTCTTGTTTTATAGATGAAAGGAGACAGGCTTCCAAGCATTCAGCTTGTCCTGGTTTATGGGAATGGTTATAGCAAAATCAGGAGTAGGATACAAGCTCATATTTACAACCAATCCAGTACCCTGGCCCAATCCTATCCCCTCCCCATTGAACCCAGGGGCACTTAAGCACTGAGCCACATCCCCAGCCCTTTTTATTTTTTATTCTGAGTCAGGATCTCACTAAGTTGCTGAGGTGGGTTTCGAACTTGTGACCCTCCTGCCTCAGCCTTTCAAGACACTGGGATTTCAGGTGTGCATTACCATGCTCAGCTCACATCTCTTGTACTTTCTCCAGTGTTCCCTTTGCTCTACCCTGACTGCTACAGCCCCATTCCAGAAATTAGCTTTTATTCCTATGAGCCCTATGAGTCACTTTGTTCAATGGCTTTAAAGAAAGTATATATTTGGAGTTAAGGGACTCTTCCATCTACTGGAGATTGATAACAGGGCCTTTGGAAGAACCAAACCACTGAGCTACATCACTAAATGCTTTTTTTTTCTTTCTTTTTCATTCCTTCTTTTAAAAAAAAATATATATATATATATAAATATAAAATATATAAATATATATATATTAAAGTGATTGAACCTAGGAGTGCTTACCTACTGAGGCACATCCCCAGCCCTTTCTTTTTATTATTTATTTTAAAACAGAGTCTCACCAAATTGCTTAGAGACTCACTAAATTGCTGAGGCTAGCTTTGAACTTGTGATCATTCTTCCTCAGACTGGGAGTCACTGGGATTACAGGCTTGCACCACCACACCTGGCTTCTTTACTTTTGTTCTTATTCTTTTTTTTTTTTTTTTTGTCTT